TCTTTTATTTATATAATAGCTTAGATGTAGGGGAGTGGAGAGACCAGGTACATAAAACTGAGGCTGCAGTGGGCAGATTTGCATGCAGTGTCATAAGGCTTCAGCTACAGAAAGCACATTTCACATGAAGGTGAAAGCCTTTCTAGAGACAGGGCACTGTCCAAACTGTATTTAATTCAGAAGCAAAGCGTCCCCTGAAGGACAGAAACAAACTGTTTAAAAATAATTAAAAAGAAGCCCAATTAGGGAAGGTTGAAAGAACTGAATCTACTCAGATTAGAAAAAGATTAAGGGAAGGCAACAAATGTCTACAAATACTTAAACAGGATGTTACAAAATGCACAGGGATTAATTTTCCTCCTTAGTCAACAAGACAATAAGAAATAACAGACTGCAGCAGAGACTGATTACAAAATACAAAATAACTCAATTTGTAACATTTAGATTTGCATCTGCTGCTGAAGTTTCCAAGACTGAGAGGTCTTCAGAAATGGGCCTTGGTGCCTGCACAAGTGAGCGAGCTGCTAATGCCAGATGATCACACATTAAGGAGAGTTTTGAGAATAATAAGCTTGATCTTTCAACCATGCATAGGAAAACCTATGATGTGACATATCATAAGAGGTGCCTATCTACTCAAATGATTCTGTAAACTGAATGCATATAAGATAAAGCCACCTGGCAGGTTTACTGGGACAAAGCAAACCTTGTAAGATTGAGGCAGTGTAGGAGATGTGCTTCTATAAACTCTTAACACTCCCTTCAACAAAGATCAATTTTTCAGCAAAGAGTCAACAAGGTTGTTTTGCATGGATTCTCATCCTGTCCGATATAGTTATTTCACATTAAAATTTTGGCTCCTTGTAAGTAATACCTTACCTGCCACTAGAGCAGTGTCAAACTGTTTTCCTTAACATTTTTCTTTCACATTTCAAAAGATACCAATCTACCTCACAAGTCTTATCTACTGAGTGAGAGGAGATTGGAAAGTATATTGATCTTATTGATGTAAAATCTTTCTAAGGAATAAAAGTTTATTGCTTTCCTGTTTCTCATTATCTTATTGTGAAGATGTGGACCACAGGCTGGGAAATAGTACTCCATGACAGAGGAGACAGGCTTCACTAAAGAGGCAAAAAGCTGAAGGAGGCATGCAGAGAAACATGAAGAAGGAAGCAGGAAACTGAAGATAGAATTTGAAGAGCTACTAAGTGGATTAGGAGTCCAAGGCTTGTGGAATGTCATACAGATTTCTAACTTTTAAACATGCATGTTTAACCTTGCAAAGTATGGCACAAGACAGACTTAGGTTTCATAAGATTGCTAGCATATTTTTCAGGGCAACATGCTGAAATGTGCTAAGCTCCCTCCATTCCCACTGAGAGGAATGCAGAGATCTAGGTACCTTTCAAAAGCTATCTTTCAGAAAACAGGAAGATATAATTGAAAAGCACCTGTAGAAAAGCTCAGACCAAGGGAACTGCTCCATTGTCTAAACATTTCCAGCCAAGTAATTCGGCAGAGAGCTTTATCTGTGGTTCTGCTGAGCTTTACGCTCTTTTCAGGTTTAAGGAGGAAGCAAAGAAAACTCCCTACATACCTTGGTATCTACTCTGAATTGCAGAGGAGCTGAGAACCTGACAGTGTGCTTGAGCTTTGAATGCTCAGCACTTTTAACATTAATTACTTTACATCTTTAAGTTTAAGGAATGACCTCTGAAAGTCATCAACTAAAATTTTCAGCTGCAAAACAGTCTGATTTGCAGATAATGTTTTCTTACACTGTTCTTTGATCTGTGCTTTCCTTTCAGTGTAGAATGGACAACCAACTTTCTATCTCAGGGTGTAGTTGGAGACTGAGGACCTGCGTTTCCAATTTAATCAACTGTGCAGATTTATTTCCTAACAACGCAAGTGTTAATTTCCAGGACCTCAATGTGGATCCAGGAGTTCTCTCAAAGTGTTATCTACTTGAGAAGAAAATAGTCTCCTATCACTACACTCTTATGGAGATGCAGACCCCAGTGGGTTGTCTATGACAAGGCCACTTTTCTTGGCTTAAGAGGTAAAGGCCAGGGAGTAAAGTTATAAATGAGTCAGGCTTCACTAAAGAAACAATGGCTCACACTAAGTTTAAAATAGATTATTTCTATCCTATTCCACTTACTAAAATTTGTCCTTCACTCTCAGAGATTGAAATGTTGCATTTTTTCTATTTACTATCCAGAAATAATCTTACTTTTGATCTAGCTAGCTTAAGTTAGAATGCCTTTTTCATAGACTATAAAACTTATAGTATAAACCACAATTGATCAGGTTTGAAACATCCACATATGAAAATACAGTGTCAATATTCAGAGACTGTTTCTACATATAAATATTAAAGCCACAAGGCTTCTCTTAAGTGTGCCCTATAGTAACTGCCAAAACAACATCTGCCCCCAAAGTGGCACAGACTTCTCTGCAGAAGGAAATACACATTGCATCTCAAATACCTTCTTTACCATATGCCAAGCACTGATCACAGTTGACTTCTATCCACTTTGTCAACATGAAACAGAGGCAAAAGGTCTTATGGGACAACAATACTCTAAGGATTGTTTACAGCAGCTTAACTGAGTATGCCTGTCAGCTCAGTTGTTCAGGTATCTAATTTTGTGTTCCATGGCCTTTAAACATAGGTGATATTTTTTTTTCTTTACAAACTAAATTTCCTTTTCCTCAATTACTGAAATTTTGTCTGCAATGCTAACTCTTTTGTAGTTTTGTCTAGGAATAATGGGAAACCAATGATAAGAAATATTTCTCTTATTTCCAAAGCAAAGGACAGTAGCAATAGGACAAAGGGTAATAGGTTCAAATTAAACCAGAGGAAGTTCAGATTAGATATGAGGAAGAAGTTCTTTACTGTGAGGGCAGTGATACACTGGAATGGGTTGCCCAGGGAAGTGGTAAAAGCTCCATTCCTGGCAGTGTTCAAGGCCAGGTTGGACAGAGCATTGGGCAGCATGGTCTAGTGAGAGGTGTCGCTGCCCATGGCAGGGGGGTTGGGACTAGATGATCTTAAGGTCTTTTCCAACCTTAACTATTCTATGATTTTGTGATTTTATCAAAGCCATAATATAAAAAGCTAACTATATAGATGCCCCTAAAAATAATGACCATCAATCAGTATTAATTTCAGGTCTTTGTTCACCATACTGTCTCTATAGGTAGAAGAACAGATCAGGAAATTCGTGAAAAAAGCTGGCTGAATACCCAACAAAGGCCCACAGCTAAAATCCAGGTTGCTGCAGGGATGCCGTAAAAAATTCAGACCACCTGCAGCAGTCATGATAGAAAATCATTTAACATTGAGTATAAGGTTTTGGCTCCTGGTATTAGGTAACTGATAACCGAGTTCTGAACGATTCACATCCCATCATGCAAATGATGCCTGGATCCAAAAGTGTGGGGATTGGCAGGGGTTTTCATTACATGTGCTTTTGGAGAAAACAGTGACAACTTTTAGTTAGGTTTCATGATACTAAACAGTGTACACTGCCAAAACTCTTTTCATGTTTGTTTCTGCTATCTTTTAGTCTCTTCTGTCTCCCCTGAACTACCTCTAAAACCTCTCAATCACAAGAAGATCGAAGGAATGTGAGTTAAATGTGATAAAAAGACAGGCATATCATATATAGTTATAGTTGAGCTGTGGAGTAGTTTTGCTCAGTTATGTTTCTGACTTAACTTCTGTTCTTCCTTATTATCAGTCTATACCCTCTTTTCAAGTAAAGGCAATTTTTGTGCTCTGAGACCCAGACTCCCCTTGCGGTTTGATCTCTGCCCTTTATCTCAGGCATTAAAAAGAAGCTTGAGTCACAATTCTAATCTAAATTTATGAGGATAAAGAGACAACTTCTAGCTGTTCAACATAGAGACTATCTATTGCAGATAAGCTAAATATTCAAAGGGAAATCTTGTAAACTGTAACTCACTGGTGGGTAGAAGACAGCTTCAGGCTGATGTTTAAGAGAAAAGCTGATGTTGATTAACAGTGCAAGCTGCCTCAGTCCAGATTATCCTTTTGTGTACTTTGGGTCTTCTTGAGTTAAATTCCATCATGCATTGCAGCACATCCTACCATCTTGGAGAATCAAGTGCCATAATATGCCAGTCTTCAAAGTTAGTCAGAGTCTGGGTTAGCCTTACACAGACGGGACTGACTGAGCTGTGTGTGAATTGCTGCAAAAGTTGATGGCAAGAGCTGAATCAAGAAACATGTTTATATCTGGTTTACAGGTGAAGGCTAAATCTGATTTGAACTCCTATAATATAATCGTATTGCCACTGAATTTCCCAACACATCAGGAATTACAAGGTAGAAACTAAAGCTATTGAACCTCCAGAATTAGGGTAAAGGGCAAGATGAGACTGAATTTAGCTTAAAGATAGTACCATGTTTCAGCTAAACATGCAACCATGATTGATAACAATTTAAAATTTTCAAGAATTTATTATAATACTATTGTGATAAAAATCATAATCAGAAGCAGTGCTGGCATGAAAAGGGATTTGTGAGGCCTTTCTTATAAAAACTATGAGCGATCAGAGTAATACCTTTGTAACACTAATGCCATTGGTAGAGCACCCAGTTTCTGTAACAAATACTTCTACATTGGTAATTTGGAGATGTACAAGATATTTCACTCCTGCAGAGAAGGTCTTTACATGACATTCAGCTCAACAAAGGTACATTGATTATCTTCAAACCGTTAAACCACATGCCATCTTTCAACATTAGAATATCACTGGAAGCTCAACATTTACATTTGATTTAACTGCACCAGATAAAACCTCCCATTTTACCCACTAATATACTGAACTAATTAAAGCTCCATGCTAGCAACCATGCCTTCACTATATAGAAACAAGAAAGAAAGCTCCAAAGCTGTGAAGCTTCACCATAGCCATAGCACATTAGCAGGGCTTTCATCTTATCATTTTCGGATACGTACCCAGTACAGTACGTCTGTCCAGCCCTCCATTGTGATGCACTGAAACACTGTCAGCATGGCAAAAGCAAAGTTGTCAAAGTTGGTAATGCCGTGCTTAGGTCCCTCCCAGCCTGCCTTACACTCCGTGCCATTCTGACATTGCCGCCCATGCGCAGACTGGGGAGCGCAGGGAGATGGATCATCTTCTGCAGGTGTATCTTAAAGGAGAGGAGGGAGAAAAAGGAGATGAAGAGAACTAATTGCCATGAGTGAGTGAAGGCTATTTGAAGAAATACATTTTGCAGCAAATTTAACAGATTTCTATATAAATGCACAAGCAACTGTATTCATTTTAATGGGCAGAGGAATGCTTTGTTATGCTTCACTTTCTGTTTGTAAAAATAATGGATAAGCTTTCAAATTTTACAGTCAAAACTGAGATAAGACAAGCATACTGTCCTATGAGGAAGAAATCATGCTTTTCAACATGAAAGAGAACATTAGATCAAGTCTATTACATTTCTTTAGGCTGCATGATGTGACCAGTGTTTTCATACTGCAGTCACTTGGCATCTGGGTTAACCTTGGAAGGAAACTGCAGCACTGACTGGTACTCCAATGAAGAAAGCTGAACTTCTGCAGCAGACAGGCTTCAGTGCTCTGGAGATAGGTTGATACGGCGCTGGGCCACTGCTAAATCACAGCAGAGAGTGTCTGGAGCTCCATTCTTTTGGAGTTTAAAAGCTGTGTGGCATTTCAGCAGTAGCCCAGTGTCACTGATGAGCTCTGTAAGACTGCAGCTTGATTATATAGCCCTTATTCCATACAGGTACTTCCAAAAATCAGAGAACCCATACAACAAGCCTGCCTAAATGCTTTGGTATATGAAAAATGCACACCCCCCCCCCCTTTTATAATCACAAAAATTCATGCAATAAAAGTTTTTATTTTTTTTTTAATATATGGATTTCAGACCTTAGTGCTACATTTATAACAGATGCAGGCATGTATGTGTGTGGGAGCAGGGAGCAGATAATTATGTTTGTTTCTCATCCTATATGGCAAAAAAATGCAATTTTCCAAAATTTATTATCACATTCTCATCATTAAAGCATGCCAGAAACAGCAATAATAGACTTTGATGCTGTAACATAAATAATTCCACACTATGGAGAAAGATATATACACTTTAAAATTGTAAATCAGACTGACAATTCATTATAGTTCTAGCATCATTTCCAGAAAATGAGATCTGCCAGTGTTATAAAAGCAGAAAATATAGAACTTCTGAAACAATTTCCTGCCATACAATATTTTCTTGGTTATAAGCTGAAGCGGGTCCTAGACACTGGCACCCACCACCACATGGGAAATTACTGCTGTTCAAGTTCAGTAAATCAAATGAAAAAGAGCAGATGGTTAGATGAGTGAGTGATAACACAATTGAATTATTTTGAAATTTGAGTATTTATTTCTGTATCTAAATTTGAAAATTCTTTCCTGATAGATTTGGTGCAAAAAGTTTCTTCCCATTAATATAATTTTGCTTTCATACTAGCTGCGCTTCTAGCTGTGGTCACAGCCTGTGATTAAAAATAAAAGGTAATGGGCCTCAATTCCTTTACAATATACAGTAATCTTTCACAATAAAACTACTTTAAAATGGAGATGTGTTTGTGATGCCACCTCATTTGTAGCTCAGTCTGCTTAGTGGTGAAATCATCACTACTTTAGTGTTGCTTGAGCCTTGTTAAAGGCTCAAAGATCCTTGTTAAAGAATCTTGTTAAAGAACCTTGGCTGCTTGCAGCGCCAAAGGTCCACATTAGTAAGTTCACTACTGTGTTCAGCATGAATTGACAGGTTGCATGTAGCCTTTACAGACAGCACAAGTGCTCTGAGATATATGGGGAATGCCTTCCTCAGAAAAACTTTGTGTGCATGATACAGTTTTCTCCTTACCTATCAGTCCCCCTTGCACATGATAGCAGGTCTTATGCATCTTTCCCATGAATAGCTCCAGTCCAATGATGGCATAGATAATAATGACAAACAGCACCAGCAGGGCAATATGCAACAAAGGGACCATGGCCTTGATAATTGAATTTAAAACCACCTGGAGACCTGCAGAGAGAACAGAAGGAAACATTTATCAGCAAGAGAACAAAATAGAGAGGCTATAAATTGCACAATAATGTCATTTTTATTTCACCCCCCCTCACCTGAACTCATTGTCTTGATGACATAAAGATTTACATTTACAGATCACGCCCCTCCAGAAAATACCCAGTATTTCACAAATTTACCATCGCATCATGGATCACAGACTAAAGTAAAGCAGGTATTACCCTACCTGTCACTGAAATACCACCACACTGGGGAGGAAATACATTAGCTATTTTGCCTGTTCTTGAAAACCAGACACAAATTGTTCCCAGGAGAGTACTGAGGAGAGTTAAAGCACGGGAAAAATGAAGAACAACCAGAACTGAAGCAGGACAAGAGCACTGAGACATGCAAGAGGGCAAGTGCTGGGACACCATAGAGCTGCATCCCAGAGCATGGGGAAAGATGGTAAACTGAAGTCATGCCCTAATCTGATTCTGTGTTCTTCCAGGGGTCAAGCCATCTCACCCACAGCCTGAGCTGCTGAAGGACCTGAAGGACCGCCAAACCTATACTGACAGAGAGCTCCCAGCCCTCTTGGGATCTTCCTGCACTCCAGATCTACCTCACTTCAGTCTGAACAGAGGGAGAATCAGAACTAGCAGTGCTGATTTTGCCACAAGATTTAGGGATCATTCTATAATAGAGGCTGTCCAGGTCCCCAGAAAGGGATATGAACAAAATATTATTACATGGCTGCTGTTAAGGCATGAGACTGGTATAAATCCTAATCATGAGTGAACCAAATATTTCAGAATGGGTGAGGGAAGGTGACTTGTAGCTGAGTTTGCTCAAGCACTAAGCAGTGTACCCTCAGATGCAGTTGACTCAAACTGCAGATTTCATGGGCCTCTCATCTCTTTCTCCTTATTTGCAAAGCCAGAATAACAAAGCCAGCCTTTAGCAAGGATTTGCATTTACAAAGGTCTTAAGTTATTATGACTGGTGGCAGTGATGGCAACCACTGTCACTGGCAAGCTATTAATGCTGGAAATATTGAGAGACCTCTAGAACTCTATAGTCTACAAATAGCCATATCAGAACAATTACAAGTTCATGATTTTGCAATGACTGAGAGCCAGAAACCATTAATGTCTCCTGCAAATACTGTCATCTCCTTAGAGAAGTTGATATTAGCTGTGATTTTTGAAAAAATGTGATTCATGAGTTGTAAATGACTGCTACAGATCTGCCAAGAGAGTTTGTGATAACTATTAACTTTTAAAATCTATCACCTAAGATCTTGGATTTTCATTTTTTTTTTTACTTTTTCCTAACTAATTTAAATACCTTCTAATAAGGATGACACATCTCTTGACAAACACTTTCACTTGTAGGCAATCCTCCTGTCAATTCACAGCTAAGGCTGACACTTTGCATTTGCTCCCCAGCCACATGGAACACAGCAGAAACAATCAAAGGTGGCATCAGCTGCCAGGCCAGCAAGATGCCACTGCCAGTAATCCAAAACTGGCTACCAGCACCCCTCTGGCCACAGTGTTTTTTCAGGTATCTGCAGTCAGTTGAGTTGTCTGTTAATGGTTCATGTTACTATCCAACGGGAGTGATAGCATGAAACATTCTGGCTTTCACAAGGAATTTCCTTATATGAAGGAAAATACTGACAGGATCAAAACTCATCCTAGAAAAGAGTGAGCTGTTCTGCTCACTCAATTACCTCTAAGTACTTACTCTGGATAAGCATATCTCTGGGGTAAAAATACTGCTGTGATTACATGAGGCAGCCATTCTTTTCCCCTAGATGCTCACCTTATTCAGTCTACTAATTCAAAATACATACAGAAAATGAACTGCTTTCCACATGAACATCACCCAATACTTCACAGCAGTCAAGAATGTTACATTCAGCAGAAAATTACAACAATGTCCCACCTTTTCCCAACCAATGTGTAACACAAGAAAGTTAAAAGACTAGAGATGGTCCTGAAGCTAAACAAAATCAAACTCTGCAGACTGAACTATTTGTAGCTTCAAATAAATCTACACAAAGGCAAGTAAAGGCTTCCATTTTTAGTGACTTTAGGAGCCCTGTTAATCCAAATTATAGTCAAGGTGTTATGCATTTTACCCTTAATTACTGTTATTCTTAACTGGTTTAATATTCATTATAGGATCTACCCAGTGCTCTTGAGAGGGTACTGAAGACAAGCACAACGATGAACAAGGTTTTTAAAGGTAGCTTCATTACTACCCATGCCATGAAAGTGCTTCAGTGTACTACAGATGTCCAGAGAAGATAGTGTCTGGACAAACCAATGCCCTTTGTGTTAACAAAGCAGTGCTCGTGAAATCAAAGGCATGCACCATAAACATGAGATGATAAGGTGATTAGACAGTCAAGGGAACATGTACCACCAGAAGATTTACAGGAGCTTCAGCTAGCTTAATTAGAGAAAAAGCTTCTAGAGGCTAATAAACCAAAACTTTGAAGAAGAGATGAGCTACTGTATACTTCTAGCATGAATCAACATGTGTGTGTGCTGTGCAGTACCCTGTTAGAGCAGCCTGGTTTTGAATCCAGATGACTCCATTAATTAACAAGCTTACATATATTACCATTGAAGTATTCAGAGAGTTTCTAAAAGTTTAAAACCACTAACTATGGATCAACTTTAGAAATGTCCTCTCAGAAGGTGACAAGTGCTACTAGTAGAAGTGCACAGGATTACATGCACATCACATGCTCCCCACATTGTTGTCAAGCTTATTGCTTCAATATAGTTGCAGACAGTAAATTATTCGCAGCTCAGGCAGCCACTTGCAACATGAACAGCTGTTGCAAGGAATGGCATGAGGAACCAGGCCTGGACAATCAGAAAAGTTGGTGTAGTAGCAAGGGCGGAGAATAGGGAGAACGGATAAAGTAAGGATTAAAGGACTCGGGGAGAACCATGGGTAGGTGGAACAAACAGGGATGCTTCAAAATCTGTGTTCTGAAATCTGCGTGGTGCAGTGTCTGTGGATGATTAGATGCACTTCTAATCAGGGTAAATGAAGACAAACCATCCCCTTACATGCAGTCACAAAACTTTTTCTAACCAGTGGTGAGGCCTTCTACACATTTTTACATGTTTTTCCCTCTGCAGAGGTAAAAAAAGCCAGTTGAACTTACACCACATACCCCGCCACCAGTTAAAACCCCAAAAACTAAACTTCTCTGTCCCAACTCATTCATGCTCTTAATCTTTGCACACTGTGACAAGCAGATATAATCCAACATGGGTGTTCACAATACAAGGGCACTACAGTTCCACTTGCCTGATGCCCTTTGCAATACACCATTGCACACTGTACACCTTTGGCATTTTATCCCTTGTGGAGGTAAGGCTTGCACTCCAAGCAATGAGCTTTGCAGCTTATAATCATAATTAAATCAGAATGCCCAGTGACCTTATCAGACTGCAAAGCTGGCCCCTGGGTTCCAAGGTGATGCCAGTAACTGCCTTCCCACAGCAGAGCGAAGAACTGCGTTTTTACACTGCTTTACAGAGGTTGGCAATACCATCGGTGGCCAACCATAAACACAGAGTCCTGAATTACACCCTGGCAGTAAATATAAAAATAAATGGTTTTCAAATATTCGGTATTCTAAAATTACTTAGTAATTTGTGGAAGCTCTCTCCATGTGCTAGACACTCCAAATATCTGTGAAGGCACAGCATCTGCCTTGAGGGGCTCACTCCAGGCTGGACAAAAAGATAACCGCACAGAGGTTAGGGAGAGCGCCACAAAAGGGATTATTTGCAGTTTTACAGCCTACACTTTTCTTTTGTTAATAATTGAAGATCTTAAACAGCTCTTAATATTTATTTTGAAAGCTCTTCAGCTTACCTTTAAAAAAAAACCTTCTTGGCTGCATTTTGTTGGCTGACACTGGCTCCATAAATGTTTCAGTAAGAAAACACATTAATGCCACTGCCTGGGCTCACAGAATTTAGTGTTTATTTACACTGATAAAGTGTTTTAAATATTTACTACATGAGAACAACATTGCTTTTTTACTAGGTCAAGCCCTTTTCAGTCTCTAGAGGACTGCATCAACCCAAAGGTTTAGGGCACAATTGGGAAGTACAGGGAATATGAAAGAAAGAAGAAAAAGAGATTATAACAAGCAACATTGATCTTTTTCAAAGCTATGGGAAATATACTGTTAGGGATACTGCAGGTGTTTTAGAGGTATTATATGATGCTGCATTTTCCTCTCAGAAAGGCAATCATGAGAAGAGCTGATTGCTGCCTCATCAATTCAGGCAGTTATTGAAGAACATGTTTATCTCCGTGCATGTAAGTGTCTGCACCTAAAGCAATGGGATTACCTACATACCCCACTGTGTACTTACAAGCTTTTTTGGATTCCAACCAATGCTCAGCAAAGATGTCATAAAAAAAAAAAAAAAAAAGTGCACTAGACCCAGCTGCTAAAATGCACTTGGCGTTGTTGTGCTGTGGAACATATCCAAGGAAAGTAATGCTAGGTTGGTCTCAGAAAAAAATATTGGGACTTTCCAAGCACAGCCCTATCTTACGTTTTCACGTGTTTTCAAGTTTGGATGAAACTTGGTTTGCTGGACACGGTGGTTTCCTTTTCTCATGATATTAGCAACCCAGATCTTCAGAGAAAGCGTACCCCAAGTCTACTCCTTCATTGGTTTTGCAGCGCTATAGCTGCCTACACCATGGCATTGCCTGAACCAGGAGTTATAAACAGGCACAGTCTCATACAAATGACCTTCTGGGAATGAGCAGGACTAAAAGGAAAAGGGATGGACTTTCAACTCCATCCATCCCTCCTCCACCTCCTGATACACACACAAACACACACAGATTTTCATACTTAAGCCACTGCCAAGGATGTGGGAGGTAATTATTTTTCTGTTAATATAGTTCAGAAGAAAACTACTACTTTCTGCAAGCAAGGAGGAAGCAGGGGAGGATTT